TGCCTTGAAAACTGCAAGGACTTGTCCAAGCAGTCACTGCAGGGTCAGCAATGACTGAGCGCAGACAAAAAAAAAAAAAAATGCTTGAATACTGAACATTAATTTTTGGGACATTTAGAAGAACTTTTTCTCAGGATTTAAGTACCCAGAGGAGTACTTGAAAAAAGGATGCAAGAATTGTCAGGTATTAAACATCCACTTAGCCCTAAGAAGGAACAGGGAGTGAGAAGGAAACTCAAAATAACCCCAGCTTGATTCTTTTTGATATAAGAGGGGCAGAGGGAAATGCTGGCAGACTTTCAAGATTCTGTTGTTATACCCTTTAACAATAAGATTCCAGTAATTCTTGTGGTTTTTGCTTCCTGACCTGGCCTACCTGAAAGGGTTGAAAAATGAATGACAGATAAAAAGAGACTATCCTTATAGTAGCTTTAAGGTAAAGTTTCCAAGACAAGTTCAATTTCATATGTGGAGTTTCTTGGAGGCAGTTTACCACTCCTTCCAGGATGTTTTCAGCTTCCTAGGCTATCCCACAGCCCTGACATTTCCAAGTGTTACCTCTTCAAATACTAACCAAGGCTGACACTAGTATTCTAGGATTGGTTGGGTGCTACCACCTGCAGTGTTAAAGAAAAGGATTAGCAAAATTCATGGAGGACGTATCAACTGTGCGGTTAGCTCAATGGAATCTCTATACAAGGACAATATACCTGACCACTAAATATTAAAGATGGCCTTCACGTTTTTACGTCCTGTTTGTGTGTTCTTTCCAGTAGGAATTTAGCTAGCTGCCTGCTGAAAAGAAAAAATGTTTATTTATAATTGTATTTATTTACTGGCAAGTCTTATTGGCTGCTCTGATCTGCTGACTCTAAGCGGCAAGCCCAATATATAACTGGGGTTAAAATCATACAATTAGTCTTAAAAAACAGCAACTACATTCTATTCATATAGAACAAACAAGATGCTGGTTTCATCTTAGCCTTCTCCCCGATTCATTTATTCATATGTAAGGATCAAATCAACTCTATGCTTGTAGTTCAAAATGGCAGTATCCCAAAAATGTTTCATCACTTGATTCCACTGAATCAGGTGCCTGTAACACAAATACAAGCACATACATATATGTGCATACAGTCTCTTAATGTTTATTCACCTTAAGTGCTAGGCTTGACAATGTATTTGAGACATTGCATTTAAAGCCCAGTTGCTTGTCAAGACTTCCATCCAGATCTCTTCGTCCATAGTCAGAAAACCCTGTGCGATCTGTTGCAGCTATTTTCTGGAATACAGTGCAGGTCATCCCAGTAAAGCTAGAGCCCTTTATTACATAAGCTTCCACTGCAATATTTGGAGAATACTGTTGAAATAAAACAAAACAAAGAAAATGCTATGCTGCAAAAACAATAAATCAGCTCCCCAAATACACCAAATTGTTAGAAAACTTCCAAATTCCAAAGAACTGAATTTGGAAGACGAGCTATTGTTAAAAATAAAATGAGATATCTACCTACCTACCTACCTATTTCCAACCAACCAACCAACCTACCTACCATAAGAGAAGGTATGGAAAGCCTTTCTACCTTCCTTTACTGCTAGGTCTACTTTGGATCATATGATCAAGAGGAAGGATGGAGAAGTCACCAATATTTCAAGCTGCTACCCAACTGCCCCTCCCAAAGGCATGTGGGGGACTTTTTTCCCTATGCACACTTGTCCTGATCTGCTCCATTTCTGAATTTTATCTCTCCCCCATGCCAAATGCAGTCCTCTCCAGCTTAGTTTTCAGAGTGCTACAATGCTGACAGAATCCTGTCCCCCTTTTTCAAACATTTCAATAAAAAATAAGTAGTGCTTTTACTTGATCTTCAGGGTTATCAATGAATAATGAAAGTGCTAGTTCTTACCGTTGAGTAAACCTGAGCCCCATTAGCTAGCCGGTACGTTGCAATCCTTTGTAAGCACTGTACAATTCTAGTACAGGCTTTGGCTTCTCTCTGGGCCATCCACAGTATATGTTCATCAGCTAGCATTATGTTACTAGCAATATCAACCATCACGTCCCCTAGCTGGAAGAAGAGTGGAAGAGTTGACATTCTCAGCTTTTGCATCATTTTCCAGTTAGATTCCCAACTGTATTCTTCTTCCCCACCCCATCTGCAACATTTTCTCTTTTACCATTTGTTAATTACATTTTATCCTATTTCCATTCAAGAAACTTGATATATTGTTTCTTGATCCTCACTTTACATTTATATTATCATTTACAAATTAGAAAGGACAAACACTCCCGTGGGTCTGAACTTAACCCTTGGTAATATCACGTATTCTATTTATATCTTTTATCTATTTTTGTCCTATCAGCAACTTCATTTTTAATGACAGTGCTGTAGCTTCTTTTTCACACTCACATTTTGTTCTTATACTTTTCCTAGCCTTCAAAACCCAATCAATACTTCAGCAGTGGTTCCTTGCCAAAGATCAGAATATTTTCCCCACCAATGGAATATAATTCTTAATAGTTGATTATAACTGTCCATTTGAATAATATCCTGAACTAAAAGCTTTTGGTGGACTCCGAATATAAAAAAATGCATAAGCAGGCCTTTCCAAAAGCGTAACAAAAATGCAAACAAAATTTGTGTTTGCAAAAATAGAAATTAAGGTAATTTAATTTGTTTTTTTTAATTAAAAAAGGAGATAATGGGAAAAGTTAAAAGGCCGTTCTCTTGCTTATAATGCTATGGAGATAAATTTTCAAATATATATACGAGTGTAGTGAAACCTGATGAGAGAAAAGTTTTTCAGGATGTTGGGAATCAAGTGGTAAAGAGTTAATGCTCCATAAATCCATGTGATTATTTCATAGAGAAGAATAAGACGTGAAGCATTAACATTTGCTTGAGCAATATGTTTATCCTGCAAATGCCTGGCTTACTTATTTCCAGAGGAGTTTAGAGCAGGGGGAAGGGACAGCTTAAATAAAACCAGCACAATGAAACTAGCAATGCTTAAAACAGTGCATTTGTTCATTACGGTATTTTCAGTTTTCTGTATTTTCTGAAACAGCAAAACCAAGGAAATTAACAAGCAGTCTTAAAGTAGTTGGACTGGTCCTGTAAATGCTTAGGGGAATAGGTGTGTCTTCAGTTCTTTCCTGAAAGAAGACAGCACAGACCCAGACAGACCTCTCTCAGAAGTGTAGCTACTATTAAGGCTTTGAACTTAGTCACATGATCCCATGTACTGTAAAAGGGAGGGAGAGTCCATGCAGGAAAAGGCTACTATCTCCACTGCAACCATCGCATCTCCCTGAAGGAGGGGATGGGGCATGAAAAGCGAATGTTAATGGTACAGAAAGCCAACGCTGTCTCAGCAATCAACAGAGTCACATTCCCCGTTTCAGCACCAAACCAAATCTAAACTGAAAAAACACCAACAAATTTACTCAATCCTTGATGACCTGGATCTATCCAGGCACTATTGGGCTCAAGTACTATGTCTGGACATAGTAACCTATAATTACTATAATTACTGAATTCTGTGATGCGCTTTTCCCCCCTCAGACTCATTTGAGTTTCATGAGGAACAATTTATTTTCTCCTGGAGGCAAATAGCTCTTCCCTCCCTACTAATGTATTACATTAACAATGGATTAAAGTTGAGCAAACAAGTTGTTCAGGAAATTTTATCAAGAATTATGCCCACATCCTCTGGCCTTCAAAACTGAAAACCATCCCCAAAGTCTGACCAATATTGCACTGAGCATTTCCCTAGTTTGAACTGGGGAATGCAAGCTGTAACAGGTATGAGTGTTTCTACTGCAAAACATGCCATTGAAGATCTCCCTATCATAATCTCCTATTAGAACAAGGAAAAAAAAATCCACTAGTCTTCCAGCTGGTTTTGTTCTTCTGTTTTAGTGCGGTCCAGAGATGTATGAAGAGAATTCATCCTTTGAAAGAATTAGTGAATGAAGACAGAATTAAATTTAAATTTAACTCAGAAAACAGTTAATATGGTTACTCTCCAGTTATGCATTTAACAATTATCTTCCATCACATTAAAAGATATAATTTGCCAAGAACTTTTGAAGATCTCAGAGTGCCATGGGTTTTACACTTCTGGTACAGGACAGAATATTCAAGAACAATCACATCAACTATCCAGGTCATATTCCAATGAGTGATCAGGACTTCAATGTGACTGGTCAATATATCAGACAAAATATATATATATATATATATATATATATTGTATCATCAGCAAAACAACTAACAGAATCTCCCTCTGGTTCCTAAGATATTCATAACAGTACATAACATAGCATGTTCCTAATTATCTAAGAATACATCATTATCTTTTGTATTGTATAGTTTTATTGCAGAAAGCACCAGTGTTACAAGTCTGTGCTATTGCAACAAAAAAGTGGGAAGCTAGGGATAAGCTTGATTTAAATTCAGATTTAAAGATACAGATTTCAGGAAAAATATTCAGTTTGAGCTATTCATTCACCTTTATTTTCACTTTCATATAAACTGCATATCGTAGTGTAACAAATATTAAACATTAAATCAAGAATCAATAGACTTAATTTTTTTTATAGCTCAGCAAAATGACATAACTAAATATGGTTTCACTAAGCCAGATTAATATGTATTAGAGACTATCCCTTTTAAAGTACAATGAAAAACATTGCTCCTGAATTTTTTTCTATTATTTTTATAGTACTAACTACTGGCAAAATAGCAGCAAGCTAGTGTTCAAGTTTGACAGTCTGGATTAAATAAATCACAGCAGGAAAAATATGAACCTTATTGCTATAAATTATCCAGTCATACATACCATCACACATTTCAGATCACATTAGATCACATTAAAACCTACCTGTATAAATATGGAATTGTAGCACTACTGATCTTCCCCATGACTTTTAAGAAAGGAAATTGAAAGCTTTTAATTTCTAAGGCTCTTTTAATATGATTACATTTGCTAAGGACCAGCTGTTTTGAACATTCAAACATGCTAATGCAGAAGACAGACTTTTAAATGTTATTGGATGAGTGCCCTTTAACAAGAAAATATAAATAGCTTGAAGATTATTTGATAGTAGAGTTTACCTTTGCTGAAAAAACTTTTTAAAATACATCTAGTACTAAAAATAATTACCTCTTTGTATTTCTCAGCAAATCTTCCAAATTTTTCTATCATTTCAGCCACAAAAATAACATCCATTTTGTCAGAGAAGTTTGCTGCTTCTACAGTGTATGCCAATAGCTGTCGGGCTGTGGCTACAGCATTGGTGAGATTCAGAGGCATCTGCATAAAGCACAACATGCTGCGTTAAAGGTGCATGCAAACATGCACAACAAAATACATTCAGGAAATTAGAAATGGACTTGGAACATACAGGCAGGTGTTCATGAACTGCATTAAGTTAGCCAAACTCTTCAGTAATTAAAATAGGATGCATTTTTGATTTTGTAAAACTCAGAACTTTTCATCTTCCTATGCCACCATAAAGCTGCCTAAAACTAACTTTACTGGGAAATAAATAAAGGGAGGGCACCATAAAGATAACACTAAACATTTGCTTCTATTTCAATTAGAGTATCCTCTCATCATCCAGCTAGGAAACATTCAGAGATGCTAGCTCCTGACACCTATATTTATTTGGTCTTAAACACACTGATCTTGGTATACTTGTTGCAAATAAGTGTGAGCTACTTTGATTACTTTGATTAAAGAAAAGGATATAAAACTGCTAAATAAACTAGTGACATGCCATATAAGATTATCTGACCTTCAGAAGCAGACCTTACTATGGATAGTAAGATATAAGCAGCAAATAAGCCAACTTAACTGACAGCTTCCATCTTTTACGGGAAGTTTTTATGTTACATAGAAATCTTCAGGCATGAAACAAAATGTATTTTCCCCTACTTCATGAAATAGTCTTTCAGCAAAAAAACAGTAGCAGTCAAAAATACAATGCAAGGATCAGCAGGTGTTCCTGCTCATTAATTCTCTATTCAAACAGACACAAAGATTACTTTGGGTGCAATATAAATGGCAGTACATTTGGATCTTTTGAATTATAAATACATTCCTAAAGACATTAGTATTAAAGGCTTGTGAAGTACACAATCTCACAAAAGATTACTGGGAAGGAGCATGGCTAACCTGATTGAACATATACAGGACTCTAGTAGCATCATTTGCGTATTGGCAACGAGAGTAATCCTCTTCAGCCCAGAGTCCTCCCTTACTACATCTGCGCCAAGCTCTCTTCTCATCCTGAGAGCTGCCCATGTAGATTCCACTGCCAGCGGAGTATCGAGTGCACAGCAGGTACGCAGTGATGCCTGCCAAAGTTCTGGGCCACCTAAAGATTAGAAAGCAAAACAGTACATACATTTACACAGCTACATGAGATGAGAAGGAGGGGGAGGACAACGAACAACAATAAAGGAAACCAGGGGAAATATGAACCATGTGACAGAATGAAAGAAAATTCAGATCTGCCTATGGTATTTGTCAGAAGCATTTTAGCTTCTGAATATTGTCATTCAGGCTTCTTCTCAAGATACCAATTTGGCAAAATGATAGATACCCATACTGAAATAGTTACATGCATGTTCCCAAAGGAATACGGGAGAAGACATATCTACACTTTTGAACATTCAACTTGGGGAGAAAAAGGTGGGGTATGCACTTACTATGCACTTAAAAAAAAGTAAAACAACTCAACACCATATTAGAGAATGAGAGGTGGCCCTCAGTTTGTATGCAGCTCCCCATGTCCCATCTTGTCTGAGACAGAGACAGAGGAAGGAATGGAATGCATATCCACCAATGATGGAAGGCTGGGAACAGAAGCTGGACCAAAGTGATTCTCCACTGAGGTTAGGTTCAACCCAGGGTACATATTTCTCTCATTTGTTAGTAGTCAACAAACTTAACATTTCTGAGAGCAGAAGGCAGGATATCTATACAAAAATAAGGCCTTAAGACAATGTTTTGGGTTATTTTAACAGCAGAGGTAGAGGCAGGGGAAGCTTGAGTGAAATTACGTGAAGAGCTCTAAGGTTTTGGAATGGGAAAAGAAAAGGGGCAGCTAGCAATACGAGTTGAGGAATGATGTGGAGGCACTGGGAAAGGCAATGTGTGAGAAACAGGAAGTATAAATGGAGAAAGCTGGAATCTTTGGTGCAGCAACAGAAGTGTAGCAACTGAACAACTAGCAAATTGTCAAATTTGAAGAGATATGGCTCAAGGGGAAGGTGAAAAGATTCAGCTTTGATTAGGGACAACTATCTAATTTATGGGACAGAGGGAAGATATTCTGATTACAAGTAAAAATAACATTCTTTGGCTGGTCAAGACTCTATTTTAATAAAACCTCTCTTTTTAAACTAAAAAATATCACATTTTAAATACAATTAAAAAGCACCTGATCATTTTTTAAATTGTTTGTACTGTTTTCTTGAAACTAAGCAGATTTTTGAGAATTAGGTTATTCATGAAAGTTTTTATTCTATTCCTCTGTACCGTATGCTGTTATTTAAAGAATGTGAAGTCATGCCAGAGAAATTATCTAGAATGTATAAAGGTATGCTGGAAATGTGAACATCATGGAGGAACATTCTATTATGCTTGGTGACGTGCAAAAATGCTAAAAAAATTTGGATTCAAACACTCACATTGATACAGAGGATTTCAAAGATTAATATTCAATTGAAGCCAGAACTTTTCCTTTTAGGACTGATGGATACATAGTTAGAAAGGAGTCATGGAAGATTATTTCAAAATATGATTCCTGTGGTGACATTATAATATGCACAAAGATGGAAAGATTCAGCATTACCCACCCTGGAGGAATGGTTGGTGAAATTGACAGAACTTGCTGACGTGGCCAAACTGACTTTCAACGACTGGAAACCCTTTATGGACTTTTTGTGTAAAAAAGAAAATGATTTTCTGACCAATGTTTTTGATGGTTAGAAAGAATAGGTTATAGAAAGAAGGGAATGATGATGTAATCTTAGAGAGGTTTGATTAGAATTGTATGTATAACTGCCGAGAGGAAAATCGGAAGCCATTTCTTTATATGTTTTTCATGTTTTCTGTTCTTCTTTTGGTCTTTTTTCCCTTTCTTTTTTTTTTCTCGTTCACATTTACTGTATTTTTTCTTTGAATGTACCTATTATATATGTAAAATCTTTTAATAAAAACTATTAAAAAATGTTTTAGTCACTTTATAGTTAGGCAGCACTATAATTCAACTCAGAATAGCTACTATTCATGGTAAATTAAGCTACTGATATTTTGACCACTCAAGAAACAAAGACAAATGTTATTCAGGGGTTTAAGCTAAATACCTTAAAACTCTAAAAGTATTTTAATCTCTGAGAATTCAAGGAAATTCATTTCATGTTTCATACGAATTCAAGAAAAAATCTTTTTCCTCATACCTTTTTATTTATTAAACACACACGGATAAGTATACCAATAAAGATGAAATATTTGAAATTGTTTGTGTAAAAATACTCATAGAATTACACAACAATTTAATTTCAAGGGTTCTTTGATTTTCAGAAGTTTCATGAAAATAAAAAAGAGTAATCAATATTGTTGTCCCCCTTTTAAGATCTAAAATGAAACAGATTCCATATATCACTTTTAAAGATTTAATGGGAAAAACAGAACACATTTATATTTTGTTACTTGTCCTAAAAATCTGATAGTCTTACTTAATGTAATATTGATTTATTTTTCTATAACTTTACAGACTTATTAAATGCAATCAATATTGATAATTTTAAAAGCCAGCAAGGCCAACAAACTGATTATGGGAGTGGAACGCCTTCTGCTTTCTCTATAGGGGAAGGTACTACACGATATGAGGAAAAGGTAAAGCACATAATTAGCTTATGAAATTTATCAACATGGAGTATTATGATCTGTATACTGCCTTTTTCAAACAGAAAGCACTTAATGTGCCTCCCATGAATGCTTCAGATCAATCAATAAAACAATTTGAAAAATATTAAACATGTAGGAAATATTGGGGGGGAGAGAAACAATAGATATAAAAAAGACATAGAAAATCAAATATATCAGGGACCTGTGCAAGCAAAAGCAAAAAAGATTTAAGCATATAACAAGCCAAAGGCAAAGCCCAGCCATAGCAAGCACATTCAATAACCTAGTTGCAGCAGGGAATATACTGTCACGCATTGCCCCCAGTAGCACATGTCGTCAGATACAGGCTAAGGAGATTATGCTTAAAAGGGTTAAATTTATGCAGTTATTAGCCATAGATAGAAAAATACAGACCTTTCATGATTATGGAGTCTACAGTTTTAAATAACAATGATACATACAACCCATAGGAGACAAGTACTACCCTCATGGGTTAGGATGTTAGCTTTCTGATTGGGTTGGGCATTCTTGGAAGCAGCTAGATGGAAAAACTAGATGGACCTTTGATCTGATTCAAAAGGATACCTAGGCTTTTTCTCATGTTCAGAAAAACAGAGAGGGAGGTAAATAGCTTGGATATATTACATTACATTTTACCTTTGTGAAAATGAACTTTGTTGGTCCATGATGCAAAAAAAAAAAAAAAATGTATATGTACATACAAGTATGTGCATATATATCTATACACACACACCTGTGTGCCTTTCAAATCAGTCTTCACTACTGGCAATTACACAGAGAAGTCCATGTAATGTTCTAGGCAACATTTTCAGGAATAGTTTGTCACTGTCTTCTTCCTAAGGCTGAGAGAGTGCAACTGCCCCAAAGTCACCCAGCTGTCTTTGTGACTAAGGCAAGAATCGAAGTCAGAGTCTCCCAGTTTCTATCCTTATGCCTTTTGACGACTATTCCAAACTGGCTCTTGTATTTGTATATAAATGTACCATGAATGCATCAGATGTTATACATATTTCGTGAACTGTCATAAGCCTTACTGGATTGTAGCAGGAGATAAATGGAATGAATGAAAAATAGATAGTAGTATGCAGGTGTAGGAAAAAAATTTGCTGAGAAAATCCTTACTGAGATAGTCTTCCAAAAACAAAGCTACAAACTGTGCATTGTATAATGTAGTTGTGAAGGTGTTAAGACTAGGACTGGAGAGGCCCAAGTTCCAGTTCACCTTCAACCACAGAAGTTTCCTGGGTGAATCTTGGCCAGTAAATCTCTCAGCCCTATATACCTCACAAGGTGTGTGGGGGGGGGGGGGGGGGGGGGGGGGAGAGAGGGGGGAGAGAAAGTATACTATGTTCCAGGAAAAAAGTTGAGATATGACTGTAATGAACAAAAACCAAGTAAATAAACTAAAATGAAGTACATCTACTGTGTATTTCTTTTTTTGCCTCAATGAACCATTCCATACTGAAATTAAAGCAGAACAGCATAAGAAATTTCCAGCTATGCTGTATTCCTCCCAAGCCAAAAGCAATGTTCCTAGGTGCATTCCTAGCTATCTGCTCAGAATAATTTCTTTTACAAGTCAAACACTGCTTTCCATATGGCCTCAAAAGGTGCAAAATCACTCCTGGCTAAAACTCTTTCTTTAATACACATTTCCAGTAAATCCACCTCCACTGAGCCATCTATAAAATGATAATTCCAAATATTATGTTTCCTTTCAATGCATTCTAGGGGGATGAGATCCTATTCATTAAGAAGCAGTGAAAGCTGATTTAATAGAGAACATTAGAAGTGGGCTTTTGGCATCTGCTTTCAAATTTAGATTCAAATTGCAAGTCTAAAAATGAACAATTCACAACCACATTTAAGGAGTGATTTCACTGCTATGTATGATTTTCCATACTTGAAATATTTTGATTTACTTTTAATCTCTGAATTCACAATTACAATTACTGCAAAGGATAAGGCTTTACCAAGGACACGTCCACTGAAATCTTGTCCTCTCTCCCATCAAAAAAACATCCATTCCTTTCAAAACACTTCTCAAACTCAACAAGAGTTTCTGTTAGGATTCTGGGAACAAGGGAATGAAATTCCTGTTACAAGACCAAAACCACAAATCTCCCTTGGGTATTGGAATTTGTTACTCAGGACACCAGATGCAGGTTTTACTGAACTGAGAGTGAATGTTATATATTTTGAGCATGGAAAGGTTATTCTTTGGAGGAAAAAAGAATGCTGACTTACTCAATTGCTATTCTTCAACTCTGACAAATGAATTGAAAAGTTTTTTTACGCACCGGAAGAAGAGAAGCAGGCACGCTAGTAAATTAGCTGCAGGTTAAGAATGCTTGTGGACTTGTGTGCACAACTGTCTTGTTGAACCTCTGGTTCAAATAAATAGATTTTTACTCAGTACAGAGCATGTGTTTCATACGGTATGTAACTGGATTTTCCCCATGAGGGCAATATCCATACATGAGGTCATCCTGGGCAAATAGTTCCCACACCAGAGGACAGTGGGGTAGGATCGAATGGGATATATGGTCAAAAAGCAAACAAAATAAATGACTATGATCATTTTCTAGACATTATCTTACATAATACGGCTACAGAATGCCACAGACATTAAGTTTATAAAAGGAGTTACCTTACACAGAGAGCATTTAACTGTAATAGCTGGCACTTCCAGAGGTAATGTGCTGTTAGAGTGACCAGCAGCAAAAAGGTCAGAATGGGGAGAAGTGAAGAAATAAATAAATACAGAAACAAGATGAATGTTCACAATGCCCAACAGCTACTAATATTTCTTAGATACAAACAACAGTTGCCAAACCTACCACATTCCCTGTTGAACAAAATGTTTTCACTGTAATATACATCAGAAGTCCCAAATACAAAATAAATCAACAAATAAAGCCTACAAGTTTAAGAGATACTCCAATATAAAATGGGAAATTTTCCCCCACACTTCAGGCCACTTTTTGTACCTTAATACCACTGTATTAATTTGTGTATTAACTTCCTTAAATAATTATCATAAGAGGTTAAGGGCATGCTGGAGCATTCTCCTTTTTATTCTCATTATCATAACTTGAAGAACTGGTGTCAGCTTCCTGCTAAATAAAGATACTGGCTCTGCATTTTTTTTAATTACCACAGTTCAGAACCCTGATAAGTAAGATATGCTTTATTATTAGGGAGGAGAACAAAGTTAGTTAACTCTCAAACTAAAAAGCTATCAACATAGTCTCTTTACACCTATCATCACCAACCTGAAGTCACCTTTATTGTTGACAACCCTTTCTGGTGGGCAGTACTGCGCAGAGCTGTTCAATACCACAATGTCCACAGTCTTTGAATTATTCCCACGTCTGGAATGCACATGACACCCCCAGTTTCCAGTAAATCCAGCTTGAATATTTGAGATGGTCAGGGCACTTTGGTGATAACAAGCAAGACCAGCATTAAAAATTGTATCAAACCATTTCTGAAAGGTAAATCATGTTAATGGCAAGAAACAATGAATTCTTCTATTTTAAGACATTCAAAACTAAGCATGAGATGCTTTAACTATTAGTCAGGCATTCTACAGGGTAAGGATGTAGGTTCTTTCCATACCGAAGAACTATTATTCCATCCAGTACCTTCTCCAAGTTATTGTTTAAAAAACATCATTGAATCATGGTACCACAATCACCAGAGCATAAACTTTCACATTATAAAACACTGCTCAAATGAGATTAAAGAAACTGTTATGATTACACAATGCAGTGGGCCAGTAGATTTCTATACGTTGGAAATGAAAGATTTTGCATGAAGAATGAAGAGTTCTTTTGCTTTTTAAAAATATTCAGCAACTTGTATTAGAAGATGGTCCATGTAAATAATAGGAATGATAATTATAAAGTGTATCAGAGAAATGTACGAGAGTTTCTCTAAGTCACAATTACATGCTGTGAGAAATCCCCTTGTACAAGCAGACATAGCATACATGTCTCTACCCATTTAATAAATGGACTGAGAATATATAAAAGAACCAGCTTTATCCCTCTCACCTTGCAATTACAGAGCAATTATGAATCATATTCTTCTCAACAAAAATACCCTGGGATTCATCAGTTTCCACAATCTTCCCATCCTGATACCAAAGAACCTGCATGTCTTGATCAATATATGAAACCATGCACTGGAAAGGCAGGCTGTCTCCTTCAAATACAACCTGCCGATGAGAGGGAGTCATGGAGAAAGATGGCAATTCCAAGGGGGGATCTGTTTTCCATTGGGGGGAAAAAAATAAGCTATAAATTTTAGAACATATGAAAACACATTACAGAATATGAAATGAAAAACTACCATTAAGCTAAAAGCATTAACAAAATCAAAGATTGTACAACAAAGTAAAGCAATCGCTGTTTTACATCAGAAACATTGGCCTCAGTACCCAAACCCACACGTACACAGATAATTGTCAGTTAAACACATCTGCATGCATTGTGGTTCTTTTAATGGCTGCCCTCAACACACACACACACACACACACACACGTATTTCCTACCATCCACTATTTAGATAACTGGGAGAGAGAGAGAGACTGACTGACTGACTTTTTCCCAGATTACTGCATGGCCCCAAGACCATGTGCTGAGAAGAGGAGGAGGGGTCTCATCTCCTTCGTCTAAGTGAACCTACCTTCCCCTCTGTTTCAAGAGGTCTTGTACGACATGTCTTTGGGTTGGATTACAATTCCTGATTTTTTAAAACTTTCTGACCATAAGTATTTTGGCTTTGCTACTAAAGTGTTGTTTCTAAGCAACACTTTTCTTTCAACATGAATATTCATGCTATATTTCTGTCTTACAGGTGAAAATGTTTGTCATTGATCTGTGAAGTACTAATAACACTGAGTACGGTGCTGCACTTAACTATTATTCTAGTTGCTCAGTTCCAAAAGCCCCATGAAAAAGGATTAAAAACCCACTGTGAATCCTAAAGTGAGCCATTAAACTTTCAGTTGACTTCAATGTATTTTCTTTACAAACATTAAGGAAATATTTATTTTGTTGCTTTGGCAAGACAGGTGGTTATATAAAGAAAAGTAAATAGATTATACGAAGACAAGAAAAACTGACACTATGACTATGCAAACTGTCATTTTTTCACAAACATAATAATTTACATTTATTTAACAAAACATTACCTACTTCAAAACATACCAAGTAAAAAACCTTATTTTTTTAAAAGGGCAGGTGAAAGATACTTCCTTTTCTGTGGCTAAGGAAAGGAATTAGCATTGTTATATACTGTGAATTAATTATGTATTATATTTTTTTAAGGGGCAAGACAGATAAAAATAGATAGCACGTGAAGAATTAAAAAAAAAAAAAACTATATGTTTTACTAGATTTTTGTTAAAGAGAATTTAGACCCAGGGGATTCAGGAACAGAAATATATTTACTTTTCAAAGAACGTCTATTAACAAAATCAGAATGATCTCTTCTTTTAAAATCCAATCACGGGGGCTGAGCAGCATCATAAAAATCAATGCCAAATTACCAAATCACAAGAAAATCGGAAGAGAAAGGTTTATGCTGGCAGCAACTTCAGAATACATTCATTTTAAATTGACAATCATTGGGTTGTACCATTCTTACCACATGTTAGAAGCCCTTGCTTAACACTCAAAATTGGTTGAGCCTGCAGTGACTTTGGGTATGCACATCTGGTGTCACGAACAGTTATATTTCTTTCTTGTAACCACTGCTGCATCCATAACATATTACAATCACAAAGCAGATAATCTGTCTGAAATTCACTGAAATAATTAAAAAGAAGCAACATAACTGAGCTTAAAATAACTGAGATCTAGTATCTTTCATTAAAACATCCATGATCAAGATATAGTTTCACTGTAAACTGAGTTCTGAACTTAAAATTTTTAACACACATTTTTTTTAAAAAAAATAGGGCATTACTGCAGAATTTTAGTTTATTATATTTTATGACAAAGTTACGGCAATTGAAAATAATATGAAATGATTCATATATTTACACATTTTACTTAATTACCACGAAGAGTCTTGGGATCACGAAGAAACCTAATAAACAGATTACAAAATCTACTGAAGAATTAGATTACGCCCACCAAATAACTCATACATTTGTACTTACAGAGCTTTTAATGAAGTTAGATGATCAAAGGTTCCTTGGGCAAGCAACGAAAATAAATTTCCTGAAAGATTTCTAGGACATGTGGAAACACAAACGTTTTAGAAATCTTCAAGTGTACTTGCAAACGTTGCAACACAGAGCCCTCCATTCACATCACTACCCATGTGCATTTCAGTTTCATGTTGATTTCTCTCCCCTCCAGGGTCAAGAGTATCCCATACATGGCACTTATAATCAATCCTGACTGGCCTCTTGGGGGTCTCTTTCTAAAGGATTTTTTTGGTACTTCTGAAAATCTTGGGATTCCCTAAGCCCATTAATGCCTATCTCTTGAGTGTTATATGATGCTGTTTGGGGTAGTTAAGAACTGGCACTTTGAAGTGAGACATTATGATCATTCCCAATAGTTATGTTACCCTATTCTTACTTTGTTATGGAAAATCTGTAGAGTCATAAGCATATCAGGAAATATGGAGAAGTAGAAATCCTGCATAATGTCAAAAACCCAAAGCATGTATTTATTTTCTGTTTCTCACAGTATACTTTAAAGCAAAAGTGACTGAAAAATCAAGTAATAATGTTTCCACAAACTGACAACACAGAAAGACGTGTAAGATATATTTATGTACACTCCACAGTCCCCTCCCAACAGTTAATAAGATTAGATATTTTGTACTACAGCTGTAACAAGCCGTGTCAACCCATCACCTCAGCATGTCTGAACACATCATTTAGTGCTTGATGATTAAATAACAGTCTAAAAAACAGCATACCAACATATATTAATTCATGGAAAATACATGGAAGGGGAGAGCAAGAACTGCAATGCAGGTAACAAGAAATTTAATAAGAACCACCAATGCAAAGCAGATACAGAGTACGTAGAACTTGGCAGTTAATGAAAAAAGGAATAAAAAATTCCTACTAGTAATGGAGGAAAAACTTTGGAAAATAGATGGGATCTTCATAAATGAATTCTTCCAATTTGGAAATCCCTAAGTTATTATGAGCAGAGCTCAAAACCTTTCTAAATTTTACTGCATAGAATAAATGCTTCACACTGAATCAATTCTGCAGCATTCTATATTTTGGCAAAGTTAATCAAGTTAACAGCAGTTAAATGTAATGCCAAGGTGTTTGCTTAATATGAATTTTGATAGCATCACCCAAGACTTCTCCAAAAGGACTTGAAATATTAGGAAAATGCACACCATGGAGACCACTTTAAGCCAGGTGAATGTTCTGCCTCGGGGGGGGGGGATGGGCACCTTTCTGTGGGGGGGGATGTTATTTATGTCCTACATCAGCCACCATACAATTTCTACCACACAAGCCCAGCTCTGTGTT